CATCTCGGTGGATTCGTACGGTCTCATTCAAAGTAAACAGCAGACAGTCTTCAAATGAAGAAACAAATAACTCAATATCACAAAAAGAATTGTCTTCCTTGTCGGTGACATCAGCTACGACAATTCCAACAAAGAAGGGTCCCTGTTCGGGTATCCAGGTATGTGGCTGTGCTTGACGACCACAACACTGTTGGCGTCAAATGAAATGGCTCCTCTGACAGCTTCCTGCTCGATCTCTGTGATTAGTGTTTCTCTAGCTGTGAGGTCGTCTGTGGTGGAAAAATCTAATGGTCGTGGAGGCTGATCTGGTGTTGTGTATGCCAACAATGGAGGTGTACCTACATTGTCCTTGGTACTTTGATTTCAAACGGTCAGTTGACGGACTGCTTGCTTATGCATGACTTATAATAATAATAATAATAATAAACACTTATATAGAGCGGCATCCACTAATTGCTCAAAGCGCTGTACAATAATATGGTAGGCGGCTCCTAACATTTTGTCTGCCATAAGTATGAAGTACTTTCCCAACAAACGTGTCCAGTGAACCTTGGTTCTTACTTAATGACAGCCGTGCCCAAGTAATATATTACAGCAACAACGATGACAACCCCTTTGGCTGAGAAATGATTCTTTCATTTTTGGTCTTAGTTAGTCAAGTGCATCTGTATGCATAATTTTGTGAAAGAGACAGGGGCAAATTCACCTGAACCATTAAAGGGAAAGTGACACGTACAAGCTAAAAATTGGAACGATTTGTATGCGAAAAAACTTATGCCACCCAGTCACACTTGAATGGTTTTCCATACAAATCCTTGTAAACTTCAAAATTTTTCAAACTGCTTTAAAACATCTGCTTAAGCATTATGGGGCACAAATCTCTTTTTGATTCATAACACTTACAGTGTGAACTGGAAAACCGTGAACACTTGAAAGATCAAGACACGTCAACTGGCCACAAATTTTCAAACTAATTAACATTCTTGCTTGCGGGTTAGGTTTCTTATGCCTGGTTGGCTTTTTCCTTGCAATACAATAACATTCCAGAAATATTTCTGGTGTTCCCGGTTTTCCTGGTTGCTATTATCTTATCTATTATTAATATTAAATTATCATCTTATCTTATTTTAAAAGAACACACACACTCGGCCCCTCCCATATTCACAATAAATTTGGTCCTCCCTTTTCCCCTCCCTCCCCTCTGGTTTTTCCCCCTCCTTCCCTCGCAATCCCGCTTCCTGTGGCCCCCCTGGTCACAAGCCCAACATCTCACTGAAAGAAAACAAAGAAAAAGAATGAATTAACATTTGATGAGAGAAATTGACATAAACAGAAGGGGGCTTAGGTAGCAATGACATCATGGCACGTATAAATTCAGCCGTTTTAGAGGGCTGTTAATTAACTAGGGCTTTTAAAGCGAATCCTCGTGCATTGGCTGTAACCAGAGTTGTTTACTGTTGCTTTTCAAAGTCATTTTTTATTTATGCTATGTTGAAATGAATGCTAGTTTAGCTCACCATTGGTCTGTAGTTTTGTTTCCAGTTCTGAAAGAGAATGAAATACAGTGTT